TGTCATGTTTTAGCAGCTATGATAATAATGGTTTTATCTATGTACAGATAGTGGGAAATGAATTAATCAAAAAATGTTATTTTTATTTTGCTTATCTCTTTAGAACTTATTTGTATCAAATGCAGAGTGCATTGGTAATTAATGGTATTAACATAAAGTATCTTTTGCAAGTTAATTTATGTAAAGCATTAAGTTTACTTTTCAAAAAATATAATAAACAAATTATAATTGTCCTCAGAGATAGTAAAACCCATGTAAGTGGTTCAGGTATGACTGAAATTTCAGGAACATTGACCCCAACCACCCTTTAGGATGTACTTATAAATTTACAAATACAAATGAAATTTTGTCTACTATATGGAGGTGATAATATGTTCTTAAATAACTCTGAAAGTTAAGGAATAACATGCATAGAGCATGCAATACAAACAAAAAGCAGAATCATTTTAAGAAATGCATCTATTCCCAAGTAGAAAAGTATTAACATTTGTAAGGAATGAATACTGTATGAACTTCAGAAGGATGTTTAGAAATAAAGATGCCAAAAAACGAAATTTGTTAGAGCATATCTCCACCTGAAGAGAAAATATTCTTAACCAGTTCAGGAAGCATATCACCATTTCAGAGATTGTCACATCAAAGCCAGGTATCATTAAATATTCCACTAATGTAATTCCTTGTTCTGCTTCCTTGCTTCTCAAATGCCCTTGTGATAATTTGGCTCACTGGTCATGCTGATGAGTCTGGACTACCTGGCAATCAAACTCTTCATTTTAAGTAAAGAGGTTTACACATCAGTCTAATGAGATTTGTTAATGAACCAGCTTCCTGAGACATCCTAATTGTGTTCACATTGATGAGATTAAGCTTCTAAGTCACAAAGACTGAAAGATCCTGGACTGGATGGCTACATCAAGATTTAAACCAGTTCATAGGTTATCTATCTGCATGGAATATCTACACCCGGAAAATATCTAGGTTTCAGGGCTCACATTTTCTCAACTTCCACAACACTACTATTCATGTTATTTGTAATTTGAACCAAGCTTTGAGGACTCAAATGTTTGAGGGGGAAAAATTATTTGAGTACCCATCTTGTGTGAAATTAAAGCATCAGGCACATTAATTATTAGTCACTTTCTGTTACTTTTAGACAAAATACTTGAGGTAAATAATTTCAAAGGAAGAAAGTCAGGCTGAGGACTAAGCTTTCAACACCATGAGCCTTTGGGAGCTTTCCAGAGTCAAACCACATTTTCTCTCTGCTTTCCTTCTTTATTATCAACCTTTTTGAAAGAAACACTTGCTCTCAGTCCTCCTACTTCAGTACCAAGACTCACTTCTCTACCCATCACCTTTGGCCCCTACCTCTGTTATTCTGATTCAATTTTTTGCACATTTCTGATCAAAAACAGAGCTTCTTAGTATGTGGGAGACTACCCTGTTGGTTATGCCCAAAGCAGGCTATAAGCAGTGCAGGCTGTAAAGAGTCAACCCCACAATTGACTTGTTTTAAAAAGTGAGTCTGACCGAAACCTGTGTGACTCATAGGGGCATTGCAGTGACATGTAGATTAGCATTATTCCCCCATCAATGGCCACAGCAGAGGCCAGAGAAATGGTCCGTGAAGCTGTGAGACTCTGATATGAGATAACATGACAGTGGAGGGCAGGGTGACTCTCACTCAAATTCCATTCCCAGAATTGAAACCTTAACTGAAAAGACAGATTAATCATTAACTACAACCTATATCTGGCCTGTTCTCTTTCTAATGCAAGAATGCTTTATCCCTTCTTTTACAAACCTTGCCGGCATCAGCAACTTATCTCTAACAACCACACATAACCCCCTCACCCCAACTTAATGAATGATTGTGTGACCAATAAATATCAACAGTTTCAGGATCTTTGTTTGCTCAGCTCTGACCATCCTAGTTCCCCATTTAGCTTTGATTCTGTCTCTGAGTCAGTCTTCTTGCTTTGCATCATAGCACCGAGCAGATCAGGATCCTCTGCAGGGGTCCCTGGTATTGGTCATAATTCTACTTGTTTGCAAAGTTCGATGGTACATTTTGTGCTCTTCTTTTAAAACATATTTCCTCCCTCTCTGATGGCCAAAACCTTTATCTTTTCTTAATTTGTGTTTTCAATTTATATTTCTCTCTTTGGATATCTTAGTTGTAGCTTTCTATAATAAGAAATAAAACATGACAACTCAAGCAGTCTCTCTTCCTATTCTCTTCCTCTCTTCCACCTACTGTGAAATTGTATTGTCATTTCTACATTAGTGTGTGTAAAATAGATGTTATTTTATACTTTTAATATTTTATATATACAGAATCATTACCCACGGCAGCTTGCTTTTTTAAAACTCATCATGTATTTTGTGAGTTATCTATTTTAATATATCTAGACTTAATTAATTCACTTGAATTTCTCTGTAATCTTCTTTTATATGGTTTAGTGACACACTAAATACAAAATTTTGGGGGACTCTTTATTTTACATTTCCTTAAGTGGATTTCCTATAGCACCACCTACCAGTTACAGATCAGTGACCCTTGTAATTCCACTAGCCTTGGAGACCAGTTTGGATATTATTTGGGAAAGCTCTATGTGTGTCTCGTGTAGGTATTGTGTTTATTCAAAGTGAAAATCATTGTTTCTGGAGGCTTTTTCTCCACTATTTTTCCATCATTCATAATCAAGAACATCACCATTCTTCTGATCACTAAAAGATATAAAGCACAGTCATTTTTTACCTATTTATTCTCATATGTAATAATCCAGATGATTCTATATGCAAAAATGTAAATTTTCCCTTTTTTCCATGCTTACTAACTTTGCTTGAGACTGTCTTTATCATTCTTACCTGAACCTAACATAGTTTTCTTCCAAATATTTTTCATGCATTGAAAAAATGTTCAATATCTCTGGCCATTGGAGAAATGCAAATTAAAACAACGCTGAGATTTCGTCTCACTCCAGAAAGAATGGCTGTCATCAAGAAATCAATCACAAATGCTAGCAAGACTGGACAAAAGAACTTTTCTTCATTGTTGGTGGGACTGTAAACTGATACAACCACTATAGAAATCAGTATGGAGGTTCCTTAAAAAACTAAAAGTACAAATTCCATTTGACCCAGCTTTTCTCCTAGGTATCATCTCAAAGGAGTTTGACACATTATACCACCGTGATATATGCATACCTATGTTTATAGCAGCACAATTGATAATAGCTAAATCTTAAAAACAGTCTATATGTCCATCATCAGAAGAATGAATAAAGAAAATGTAGTGTTTATACACAATGAAGTACTATTCTGCCATAAAGAAGGATAAACAAGGCATTTGTAGAAAAATAGATCTATCTTGAGTCCATAATGTTAAGTAAAGTTATCTCAGACACACAAGTTTAAATATTACATGGTTTCTCTTATATGAAAAACATACATCTCAAAACAAAAGACAGATAATAGGAAAAAAGAGAAAAAGTAATTACTGTAATCCAACATGGACAAATATCTAAAAGTGTACCTTGACTTAATACAATTATCTTACATGTTTTATATGCTGTCTAGACTATTAGTTTGTATATATGATAACTATAAGGCCTTATAAGATAAATAAATGAATCTGATGCTGGAAAAATAAAGGGAGGGAGGGGGGAAAAAGAATTGAAATGTGTTATGTACATGTACCAATTCCCTACAGTGAATGTAATCATTATGTACTGCAAACATGTACTAATAAAATAAAAAATTTTTTCATGTATTTATTTTCCCCCTATTATTATTTTGCCTTCATCTTACTGCCAGAGGTATCCTCCTAAATCAAAAGTTGCCAAATTTATCTAGAAAGGAATTAAATAGTAAATATTTTAGGCTTTGTGGGCATTGCAGTCTTTGTAGCAACTATTCAATGCTGCCAGTGTAGCAAGTTAGTTTTCACAAACAATACATTAATGAATGCATGTAGATATATTCCAGTATAACCTTATTTACAAAAATGTCAGTAGGTCAGATGTGGCTCAAGAGCCATACTTTGCTGACCTCTGTTCTACAATATAAATTAGATCACAAATCTTCCCATCAAAAACAATTTTCTACAGAACATAGTGTTTATCATTCTAAACCTGCTATCAACCTTAATTTACCACGTAAAGTCAATTGTTTCAAGCTCTATGGTTCCAGTCTATACTCTGAGTTACTTTTGATAACTCTATCATTGTGCAGTTGATACAAAAACTCAAGGTAAAGATAGTATCTTTTCACAAATCATTAAGACAAAATTTAACATTAAGTGGAAAACAGCCAAGTACTTCACACACACAAAAAAGTTCAAAAAGTATTTACAAAATGTTTAACATCACTAATCAATGGATGCAAATTAAATATACATCTTGGTCTATAAAATTTCACATACTCCATTATGTGAAATCATGCAATATTTGTCCTTTTGTGATTACATTATTTAACTTACCATAAAGACCTCAAGGTTCATCCATGTTGTCAAATATATCCAGATTTTTTTAAGGCTGAAAATAATTCATTTACGGTGTACACTATGTTTTAAAAATCCATTCCTTTTCCGATAGACAGTTTATTTATTTATTTTAGCTATTGTGAATAGAGTTCTATGAACATAGAAGTGCAGATATCTTTTCATGATGCCGGTTTCAATTCCTTTGGAAATATACCAGGAATGGGACGGCCAGATTATATAGTAATTCCTTTTTTTTGAGAAATTTTGCACAAGCGCAAGGACCCGAGTTTGATCCCCGGTACCAAAAAAAAAAAGACAGAGAAATTTTCATACTGTTTTTCATAAGGGCTATACTGATTTATATTCTCACAGTGTGTATATTTGCTTTTTCTCCATATGCTTGCCTAACAAAGCTTATTACTTTTTGTCTTTTTAATAATAATCATCCTACAGGTATGGAATTGGTATCTCATTGTGGTTTCTATTTTCATTTTCCTGTGGTTTTAATTTGCAGATTCTACCACTTACAATTCATGGAAAGATCCCATTTGCAGTAGGAGAGATTGAAACAATACACAGATGAATTATGGACCAAAAGATGAAGGTATCTTAGTGACATCATAGGGATTAATGGGTCAAGCTGTACCTGAGACCCATTTCTTTCCTGTTGGTTTCTTATTGGTTAAGTCAATATCATTTTATACTTAAACTATTTAGAATATGGTCTAGAAAACCAGATGCCACCTTCAAATGAGCTTATTTTACGTCCACATTGAAAAAAGAATGGAAATATATGGTAACTCTTCTCTTGAATAAATGTGAATTTATTTATAATTATAAATAGTATTGGTATCAATAGACAAGTGGCATATATCTAATTATTGCTATATTATAGAGACATTTTCATTCTTTTTATTATAAAAAATTTGTTTAGTGCCAAGCCTATACCAGCCATTAAAGTAGTTAGAATTTGTATACACATCAGGAAATACATTTACCTATGTTCCCTTGCTTTTGGAGCCATAAACTTTAATCAGGGAAAACAATAAGTAAACAAAAAATTGGAGCTGCTATTAGATAGAGGATATGGGATCAGGACAACACTTCCTTTTATTATGGAAATACTAGAGTGGTTTACTAAAGAAACAGAAAATAAAAGGATCAGTGCCCTTGAGAAGCTCTCAGAACAAAAGACACAGGACACATGTGAAGGAAATACCTTTCAAAAGGAGGAACACTCCTCACCCTTTCTCTGATAGAGGTGAGAAAAAGGTTTAGGGATATATCTTGGTGATCTAGTCATGGAAGGATAAAAATATTCCATATGACAGTTCCATACTCTCAATAACACTTGTAGCAAACATCTGAGAGATAAAGGTAGAAGTGGGGTAGAAGATTATAGCAGAAAGAGCCAGATCAATATAATCATCCTGGGGAGAAAAAGTCTTATTGGAGAAATATAACAAGATTTCTGTGTCAAATAAAGATTCAAATTCTGGCCAATGATTGTGGACATCAAGGGAAATTAGTCACCTGATTATGTAATTTCTGTTATAGAAACTTTCCTTCTTTGGTGTAAACAGATAGGTCTGAATCTGGGTGAGTTATTTGATGTTTGGGGATTTTGTAAGATGAACTCAATTGAAGCAAAGAAAGAGCTGAGAGTTAAAGGTATTTGCAAAATGGTGACTATGTGGATGATATTATAATCGGTGCTGAGCAAGATGAGAAGTGACAGGAGGGGTCAGAAGATAATAAGGAAATGGTGAGCTGAAAGGACTGAATGTCCCCACAGCATTGAAGAATTGTCTGGTTGCATGGGAGTACTCGCATCATTGAACTGTTCACATAGGAAGCTATATAGATCCAAAGTTTGTTGTTTTTTCATTAGCAATTTTTGAAGAAGTTGCTATTTTTTAAGAGAAAATGTCCAGGGTGTGACATGGAATGTGTGACTGAAGTGGGAAAAGGCAAGTGTCTTTGGCATATGGAAGTCAAAACAGAAGACGGGGATTTTTTGAGTCACTGAATTAAGAACTGATATTAAAGGCAGTGAGGTGGAATGGAAGACCCTTTCCCAGGAACAGAAGACTGGTGGATGAGCACAGAGATTGCTCGGAGACTGGCAGAAAATAATAAGAAGGAATCAGTGACATATCCAAGAGACATAAGCATCAAAAAAGCAATCATTTTTGCAGAAGAGAAGAGTTGAAATAATTTGGAAGTAGTAATGGGAGGAACCAAGATATGCTCCCACTTTGACTTCTGACATTGTCTCAGGCCCAGGTAGATTTCAACAAGGCAAGAAGGTGAAAGGAATATCTGTAGGAAAAGATGCTGATCAGATGGAGTTAAAGGACAAACCTGAAGGGTTAGTTTGGGAAAGGATGGAAGTGGAGAGGATAACAGAGCTTGTAGGTTAAGCACGTGTGAGAAAAAGAGTGACTTGGAGGTTCGCCATCCTGCAGTTTAGGGAAGTGTAAACTGATGAGAAGCCTGGTGGTTTGGGCTTGAGAATCTTATCTTGTGGTACTCTTAATGGTGTGCACAGCCTCGGGCATTATGTTATGGCGTGGCCTCCAGAATAAATAGTCACTTTTTCTAGCAACTGAGAATCCTGGAATCATCTGCTATAATTAGCTCCATGACCTTAGACAAGGTGCTAGGCCTCTCCAGGCCTCATTTTCTCTATCTCTACAAGGAGAGATTGGTCTAAATAATCTTTTAAATTTCTTCAGGTATTTTAAATATCGTAGAGCAAAAAACAGGTCATGCCACTGGTAAGCTAGAAGTATTAGAAATAAGTATTCATCTTTCAAGTCATACATCTTTCAAGTACAATGTATCAGAAGCTAATATTAGGAAGAATATGAAATATCTGTGAGTTTGTACATCTGCTTAATTTGCTTTCAAAGCATGTTAATGATCTCAACAAAAAGACAAATGATAGAACAATTCAGCATAATGTAGAGACATTTGGTTATGCCTTCCTGCTAAAGCAAATACATTTTGAAACTCATAAATATAAATTAGTAATAGTTTTATGGAAATACTAAGCAATAAAGTTGAAATTAAATTTCAAACTCTTGTCTCTCTCTTCCCATTCTTTTGTCCCTTATCCAATCTGCACTATTAACTGTATTATTGTTATTGCACCAGTAAGATAATGAATGAGTCACTTATAAAATACATAACCATTTTGGTGGACTGAGTTAGTGAGATTTATTCAATCAGTAATGAAAATGCTTCTTCACAGTTCATTTTTTATATTTAGGCCAATTTGCTATTAGCTCATTTAGTCCAATTAATGGATGAATTCAGTCCACACAGTAAGAGATCTGCTGTTCCAAGTAGTGAAACAACTTTTATCAAATAAGTCAAGGAATCCTGCTAGCTAAAGGGCTTGTCTTGTCTTCCTGTTTAACAGAGTTCTGTGTCCTGGCAGGTATTCTGTTGAATGATTTAGACAAAGGTCTTTGAAGGAGAAAGCAGAAATGCCTACCTTTGATTGAGAATGGACCTTGTATAAAATCAAAAGTTGGAGGACCATATATATTGAGTATATTCACTTGTCTTCACATAAAAATGCTATATATATTAGAAATAAAAACCCTATACATACAAATTAACTTCCCTTGGGCAAAAAAGATACAATTTTGAATATTTTATTACTTGAAAAATTTATTTGTATACAAAAGTAGCATGCAAATTTCTTTGTCTTTTGATAATGAATATAATTTTATATTTTTGTATTTGAGATATATGACGCATTAACTTATTTGATCCTAAGTATTTTATTTATTCTTTGGGTAATTGGCCACTAGGTGGCAGGGCTGTGCTATGAATAAAGGTCACAAGACAAATGGATAATCTGTCCTCATAGATAAGAGCCAGTATGTGGGATTCCTCTCAGCAGGGTTTAAAAACACAAATTGAGTACATACTATGTATTTTTGCAAGCACTAGAAATCCAAAGATGAATATTACATGATCTCTGTCACCAAAGACATGCTGGTCTTAAAGCTAGAAATGTGGTTTTGTTTAGCACTCTTACTAGAATGTGACGAATGCTATCATAAGACTTTTTTTCAAAGTACAGTGGGAACATAAGGACTACTACAGTTAATTCTAACTATAATGACAGTGCTGAGGCAAGGAGCTCTTAGGTTACAGAAAAATAAAAGTCTCAGAAGGGCTCAACTTTTTCTTTAAAAAATATTCTAAAACTTGGGGATGAGGACCTGGCTAGGGGCAGAATGTGTGCCTTCGGTCCCACCCCCACTCCAAAATATTCTAAAGTTTAAAAGTATAATAATTATAGATACTATGGCAATATAAAATTTAGGGCAAGATTTTAATGCTTACTTTAATGTTTACTTTAATGCTTGCAGTGTTTCTCAATCTGGAGTGACTGTGTCTCCTATTGAACAGTTGGCAATTCCCTGGAGACATTTCTATTTGTTATAACTGGGGGAAAGGGCCTACCAAAGCCTAGTGAGCAGAGGTCTAGGGAGTTACAAAATGGCCTGGAATGCATAGGTAGGAGAACATCAGAAAAAGTTCAGATTAGGAACAGATTAGCATTGGACCATGAAAATTAAAATTTCAAAATCAAGGTCATAAAATGACCTAACGTTTGAAAAGAAAAACTAGAAAAGACACCTTGGACTAAAGATATTTGAGCAAGCACATACAGTGTCACTCGCATATGTGACAGTTGGAGCTAGGACAAGAAAAACTTGATTTTACCTTGGCAAATAAGGGCTGGAGAATGTGGTCTCATGCCTGGAGTCAGTGCTGTAGAACATGCAGGAAAAAGCTTGCATGTCATATACTAGCTGCATGACTCATTTTTTCTTTTAAATTTCTATTCCTTGAAAATGGGGAAACTTATTAATAGGATTATGAATGTGTGCTAAATGCCTAGAAGAGAAAGTTCTCAATAAATGATATTTAATGTTATTGAGCTATCGCTAGAGTGTTAATAATGCCTCTCCTTCCACAATTGTCTGTACACTTTTGGAAAATTAGTCAAGGTACAACTATATTGCATGATATTGAAAATAGAAAAACACATATTGTGAGATGGGGAGAGAAAAAGTGAATGACAAAACACAAACAAAACTTTTGCAAGTTTTAGGAGAATTATTGAAAGCAGAGTCAGAATCACCATGATCTCTGAACAACAGTTCTGTTAGGGAAGAAATAGATAACTGATATTTCTGTGAGTCAGTGAGTAGGGTGCGGGACTAGGATATGCTGCTGTGCTTAGCCAAACACACCCTAGTTAAATCCAACTCCCTGCTGCTGCTGCACCCCCACATAATGCTGAACAGAATGCAGCACAAAATAACGCTGGCTGTTCTAACTTACCCTCAAACCACTGTCCCTCGGCAGGTTCTCAGTAACTTGTGATCATACTAGATACCCAATCTGTACTCTTCTAGCTGACACTTCATGCTTTCTGAACCTCTTTCTCCAAGCCTCCAATAGCCCCTTCACCATAATCACTTTTTTGGGTGGTACTGGAAATTGAACCCAGGGTTTCATACATAGTAAGTAAGTTCTCTATCACTGAGCTATATGTACAGTTCTATTTTATTT